TTTTTTTTTTTTTTTTTTTTTGGAGAACGGGCGAAAATCCGTGCGCGCGCAGGATGTCATCCATAAAATTAAAAAAGTGTGGCCTTATGCATGAGGTATATGAATGATACATTGACACGAATATCTTACCTAATTTATTATTGATTTTACTTATTCTGGGTAAAGTTTCATGTCTGCTCCTCAGTGACCCCAGTACATTAACACCAGTGCAGCTGTACTCAGACACAGAGGAGGCGTTGATGGTGACAGACGTTGACACTGTTGAGGGCCTCTCGTGCAGTACTTCCGTGCCCTTCCATATGGTGATATTTGGGAGTGGAATGGCTCCCGTGACTTGACACTCTAACACATAACTTAAACCAGCCTGGCGTGTGACGTTTAGTGTGGCACCCTTTGGTTCACCTGTGGGACAAGAAATCTTAATTTTTGCAAAAATGTTAAAGATTGAAAGTATTTGGTTTACAATAAAACACAACAGCATAATACCTTATTAGGAGTAGGGTGTCCTAAGAGAAAGACAAAAGAGAGAGGCTAACTGGTTGGAAGTAACTCTAATAAAACTGTTTTCTATACCAGCAGGGTCCAGTAGGTTCCCTATGATGATTTAAAAAGATTCTATTAATAAAACTTACTTCCAATGACCACATTTATTGGGTTCCCTTCAACTGTAGCGGACGCAAGGGGAGTGACACTCCAAGCATACTCCCCAGAGTCGCTAAACTGAGTATCTTCAATTATAAGACCAACGTAAGATTGTGGAGAAGTGAGGAATCGCAAATCAGATCGTGCCTTGAAATGACCACTTGTTGTATTAAATATGCTGATTCCTTGCAGCTCACTGTAGCCGGCTACTATGGTTTTGTTCAACTTCAGTTCAATGTAGAGGAGGTTATTTTTTTCGTCAGAGCTCAGACTGTAATTTAGGGAGAGTATCAGCGACTGTCCTCGTGGGAGCGTGATACGATGACCTGGTTGTTCTTTAATTACTGCTCCAAGGATTTCTAAAAGATAAAATCATTTTTTTTTTATTTTAGAGTATTGTTACACCGTTGCCTGACACTCGGTTGTAAAGAGAAAAATTTTGGTGAACTTTTTTCCCGGAAAAGGGGGGTTTACGCGTCCGTTGCCCCCTGCACAAAATGTCCCTACATATCTGACATCCCGATTTTGCTTTGTTAAATTCCAGCCTTCACTTACCAAAACTTAGCAGAGGTACCAGCGCCAATGTTAATAAAAAAGCTCTCGCCATCTTCAATCTGGCAAAACGAGAATAACATGTTACCTTATCGAATGACCTAGTGATATAACGATTGATAAATATACAGAGCGCACCTACATGTATTTGCTAGATACAGTGTAAATTGCATTTAAAAGTATCTAAATCAAGTCACAACGTTTTCAAAACTGACAGGTGCCACTGCAACCATTCTTTGTAATGGAGTATTTTTTTTAATGTATGGATATAATCAGTAACTGCAGTTTCAGTGTGGGACACATCAAACACTGCATGAAGTGCGTTAGGTGGCAGTGCTGGTATACCCCCGTAGTATGGAAATGACCAAGAGTGCATTTTTCATGGCCATGGAGACTCTTTGGATATTGACTTTAAGTCTGACATTGAAAGGTGCTGTATAAATAGTTATTATTTCGTAGCGTTACACACAGCGATTTGATTTGGGTTACATAATTTTATCAATCGTAAGTAAAATTCAATGTATGAAATTTATAAGATGATGTGAAACGAGGACGATGAAAAATTATTTTATGAGATTCACGATGCTCTAACGTTACAAAATTGATTTTCTCTTTTAGAAATCATTGGAGTAGTAATTAAAGAACAACCAGATAATCGTATCACGCTCCCACGAGGACAATCACTGATACTCTCCTTAAATTACAGTCTGAGCTCTGACGAAAAAAGTAACCCCATTATAACTGAACTGAAGTTGAACAAAACAAAAGTATTCGGCTACAGTGAACTAAATGGAAACAGTGTACATGATACAACTAGTGGTCATTTCAAGTCACGATCTGATTTGCGATTCCTCACTTCTCCACAATCTTATGTTGGTCTTATAATTGAAGATACTCAGTTAAGCGACTCTGGGGAGTATGCTTGGAGTGTCACTGTCCTCGGGTTTGCTACAGTTGAAGGGAACCCAATAAATGTGGTCATTGGAAGTAAGTTATATTATATTATATTATATTATATTATATTATATTATATTAAAAGAATCTTTTTAAATCATCATAGGGACCCTACTGGACCCTGCTGGTATAGAAAACAGTTTTATTAGAGTTATCTCCAATCAGTTAGCCTCTCTCTCTTGTTTTTCTCTTAGGACACCCTATTCCTAATAAGGTATTATGCTGTTGTGTTTTATTGTGAACCAAATACTTTCAATCTTTAACATATTTGCAAAAACTAAGATTTTCTTGTCCCACAGGTGAACCAAAGGGTGCCACACTAAACGTCACACGCCAGGCTGGTTTAAGTTATGTGTTAGAGTGTCAAGTCACAGGAGCCATTCCACTCCCAAATATCACCATATGGAACGGCACGGAAATACTGCACGAGAGGCCTTCAACAGTGTCAACGTATGTCACCATCAACGCCACCTCTGAGTCTGAGTACAGCTGCACTGGTGTTAATGTACTGCACTGCGGAGCAGACATGAAATTTTACTCAGAAAAAGTAAAATCAATCAAAAAGTGATCTAAAATTGTGTGTTAATTTATTTGCCAGTATTTAATTACACCTCACATATTCAGTGAAAAGAAACGTTGCTCATTAGGTTAACGTTTAAATAAAGTATAGAAATACAGAGGAGGTGACAAAAGTATTGCACATTTTTCCCTTTATTTGTGAGTTTTGAGAATTTTTCAAACAGATGGTGCAATACTTTTGTCTCCCCCCCCCCCCCCCCCGCCCTGTAGATACCTGCATTATATCAATTAACGCATTTTGCTTAAAAATTACAGTGAAACCTATACAGTAAAAAAGACAGATATACGCTACTATTTAGTTTTAAATGCAATCCTAGGAAGAGCACTGATTGTAACTCTTAATGCTATGCTACTGAAATAATGTTCAATTCGTATTTGACGGAGTGCTTAACACAGGCATTATGATACAATGCCAACATGCTTATGAAGTTCATTCAAACTGGTTTGTCAAGTTAAAGCCAAAATTATATGAGTGTTTGATTTTGTTTCGTGTTTTTTTTTTCTGCTTTTGCATGGAATCAAAAGAACATTGGAGCAATATAACCGTAACCGTTGCAGGTCCGACAGAAGAAGAAACAGGTACAGTTAATCTTATACACTAATTCTCTTATCTTTATCATGGCACAGTTGCATCAGAATGGTCGCAATCAAATGCAATGTTCCCTGACCATCTATGACATTGTGCATTTTCTCCTTACAGTTTGACTACCAGGATTTAATATGTTCCTAAGTTAAAATTGTCCCTTGCAAACATGTGTCAAGAATAAACTATCCTAATCCAATGCACATGTTGTTCTTAAAATATTGTTTTGTTTTTTTTTTTCTATTTTTCAAATAATTGCATGCAACAGTGCCATCTGCAACCATACAGCCGACAGAAGAAACAGGTATAGTTTCAACTGCACAAGAGTTGTATTACTGTTTTATCAAAACAGAGTTGAAACAAAAATTTTACATAGAATATTCCTTGTTTTGTGAATAGTTAACGACTGTGTTTAAATTTACCAAACGGTAGGTTTACAACTTTAAGTTCGTATAGTTTGTTTTGAAGTATTCTTGTTTAAGTGGAATAAAGAAACTATTACCTTGTATCAATTTGGAGATAATATACGAATATTGCATTTATATTACACTTTGCATAGCGATGTTTTAAAATATAATTTGGATTTGTTTTGCCTTATTTGGTTTCAGATTACATTGTGACAACGAAATTCAGCTCAAGCACTAAAAAAGCTCCTGGTCAAATTGAGAACGGTTAGGGTTTTTTTAGTAAACGGAAGTAGAAGTCACGAGAAAACAAATTATTGGCAACGTACTCTTTTTTTCGTTGCGTTAGGATGACTAATACATGTAAATTATGTTTATAATATCATTCAGATGTTTGCGTACAGAATATTAATTTACATGTGACATGTAAGTCAATAAATATTTTCGATTATTCATTTTGTTGATAGGTGATGACAATGAGCTTGTCGCAGGACTTGCTGTTGGTATTTCCATAAGCATCATATTAATTTTGTTGTTGGTTGGGTCTCTCCTTTATGTGGTAATCATTTCAAAATAATTTAAAGGTACACTCCATGGGTTTGAAAATCGTTATTTGTGCCATCCACAGCTTCTGATAAAACCTTACATACACCTTAAAAATGATTTAACCCCTAATTTTTTTTTCTGGGGCGTACCTAAATGTTGATATTTCAGTTGGAGCTTATATGAAAATAGTCGCTGTTATGATGACTGGCTAGTCATTTTAAGCTAAAATCAACCTTTATAAATTTTATCCAAGTGCATGCAGAGAGGGATAGATAAATGATTAGTGAGTACGGGAAAGTTGCTTATCTTCCTTGAAAATCCATTTTGGAGGATAAATCTCATGGAGTGTACCTTTAAGTTATGAACGTCTTTTTCTGTCGTAAACAAAGAAGCAGTAGCAATTTACTCCAAAAGCTCCGTATACTTGTATCAAAAGTACATTGACTATGGTTTAATCTGGAGAAAAGGTTCCTTGTTGGTTTCTTAATGCGGAATATGCGTATTTATTAGAATTTTTTTGGCGATCGATTTTTTACTTTGAAAAGTGTGATCTTAATGTTATCTAATAAGTAAGCAGTATAATCAATTTTTCCGTTAATCTGACAGGAGTCTGAATAAGAGTCTACGTCATATTCATGTTAATGATCATAAAACAAATGCCCTTCTAATCTCGAAAAAAAAATTATCATTTTGTTAGATGCGTCGTCCAGAAAAGGCTTCAGCGTTGCCTATTATAAGAATGTTATACCGACAACGAAGGGATAACACAACCGACGCTCACGTGTACGATAGGCCTGAAACAATAGCGACAGAGGTAAGCAGGAGCTGAAGTTGTGCAAAATTCGACAGTTTCGATAAATTGTTAGTGGTACATTGCAATGTAGATTAATCACATACAATTGTCATTATGGTGTTTACTTTTAAGATTCATCCGTACGCGGAAGTAAATGCTAACTCATCAGCGAGGGAACTGTCTGAGAGCGATCTTCGTATTCTGGGAAATATAGGACATGGTCACTTTGGGGAAGTCTACAAAGCTGTTTTGAAAACCACTGATGCTGACAAGTTTGTTGCAGTAAAACTTTTAAAAGGTACTGTTTGATGAGTCAATTTATTTTTATATATTGCAAGTTCGATGCCTATGACTGTATATCAATTCAAAGAATGTTTCCGTTGTTTCTTTTTGTTTTTTCATGTTCACCTTACATTTTAGAGAAGAGTACAGAAGTCGACAAAAAAGAATTTTTCAGAGAACTAGAGACCATGCAGTTAGTGCCACAGCACGAAAACGTGGTCGCCATGTTGGGATACTGCAAAACAGCAGGTATGCATTTCAGTTATGTAGAGTGCTTTCATTTTAAATATAATAAAGATTACAAAATATGAGCAAATTCACACATTCTATTACATCATTTCTGAATTTCAAAAAGTCCCCAATGAAATATCTACTATACCTGACTTATTTAAGTTACTACATATACCTATTAAGGCAAATATTGCCTGTTTTATTTAAATAACAAGAATAATACAAAAATGAAATAATATTTGAAAAGAATATTTTTTAAAAATACGCTGCACATACGTCTTGGTGCTGTTTACATATCTTAAACCAAATCTTAAACCAATCAAGTTGTTTACAATATTAAAGGTTATATATTGTGAAATTTGGATCCTTTATATGTAACAGTTGTTAACCTTCAAATAAAATTAGTTATAAAATTGGTGATGCTATTTCAAAACTCCAATCACCTTATACGTAAGAGATTTTTTCTTTTGGTTATTTTTCGCTTTAATAGATTGTGCCCGCTTGATCAAAGGTTCTGGTGAGACTTGCTAGTTGTATAATATTGTTCAAATAAAAATTCCTAACTTGTCTCTGTTTGTGTTGATAAAATACTGTCCAACTCTGATATCTAATGTGGTTCTGCCTTTTGAAAACCTACGATTGAAATGGACCCGGTTTTATCATCCCTAAAGACTAAATCTGCTTGAGCCAGGATCTGGGTTCATACACAAAAGATCAACTGGTTTGCTTTTCAATCACAAGGATTTTCACACACAACATGTATCTGAAAATTATCTGCATATAGCATGAATTGAAACTTTGAATATAGTACATTCCACTTTTCCAGCTCGAGCGTTTCTTGTGTTAGAGTACCTTGGCAATGGTAACCTTAAGACATATCTCCGTAAAAGCCGCAGTAACAACATCTATGGTAATCTGCACGGCGGAAGTGGCAAATTGACGTCACAGGATCTATTGTCTTTTGCTTTAGGTTCTGCCAGCGGAATGGCTCACATAGCTAAATATAAGGTGGTTCTATTGTATGACAGATTGTATGTAGAATATATGTATTAAATATATGTGAATTTAACAAGTGTATCGTTGGTTGCTACTGTTAATGTTTAAGTACAATATTGTTTTTTTTTATCCACACGTCGACCCTACGATAAAAAAGGGACACACGTCCCATTCACCTTTTGTTAAAAATTTAGAATGTCTTAATAAAATCAATTCTAGCAAATAAGTAAAATATCCTTTCATTCTTAAACTGTTTGAATCCCTATTTTCACGTGTAAAACTTTTAAACGTACGTTTTAATTTGCCACTCACAGTTCCTGCACCGTGACCTGGCTGCCAGGAACATACTGGTCAGTGACACCATGGTGTGTAAGGTGTCCGACTTTGGTCTGGCTCGTGACGTCATTGACAGCAGGGAGTATCTCAGCAGGATGGAGGTAGGGATGCCGTATAAGTGGAAGTAAGTTTCCACATGGAATAATTTATATTTTAGAAATAAACAGATGTTGATATTGATTGTTGAAGAATTTTTTGTAGCATTAATGCTCGTGATATGTAAGTTTGGCTAAAAAACTAATAATGTAGCATGAATTAGTGGTGGCTTCCCACATGCGTTTAAACGTCGTGTTACAAAAGATACCTCAACCTCCTTTGAAAATAACTGCGCACCAATATTTCTCATAAAACTCTTGGAATTCTTATAAACTTTGAATATCATTTTTTACAAATTGTGATTGAAATGTTATAAAAGATTATCAATATTAAATTAATCTTTATATACCAGACCCCCCTCCCTATCCGCTGGATGGCACCAGAATCCATCTCTGACAGCGTGTATACCACTAAGAGTGATGTGTGGTCGTTTGGTGTCCTTCTCTGGGAGATTGTCACTTTAGGTAAGATGCAAACAATACATGTTACTACAGGTATTTGTTGTCATGTTTGAAATGCATGTAACGGACTGGTGGATATTTCTTATTATTATTTGTCCATGGTCGAATATGATTACTCAATCAATGTTAGTTAAATATGCATATTTCATTTTTCTTTTTATTGAATTTTATTGAAATATTTCTTTTTTGTTTTAGTAAGTACATGTATGTTTTTTTTTTTTTTTTTTTTTTTTTTTTTTTTTTTTTTTTTTTTTTTTTTTGAGATTAATAAATCTGTAACTAATAGATCATGGGAAGCTTTGTGATTATTGGAGAATGGATATCCCTCCAACGCCCATACAGGTAGAATCTAGTGTAGTTCTGAAGACTTATTATTCATTTTTATTTTCTTGGCTGCTGACGTATACAGGAGCTACCCCCTACCCTGGTATTACTTCTGGACGAGAACTAATACGTGAGATCAGGTCAGGATACAGAATGGAGAAACCTCAACACTGTACACAGGAATTGTAAGTAAAATTCAAAGATACCGACAGGGATAGTGCGAAATGATATGGATGCAAATTAAAGAAATATAAAAGATGTTTACATTAATACATGTATGCACTATTATCTGCCACCAAAGGTTAAATTTAACTGTTAACGTTGCTAGACTAGCTTGTGCAACAAAATTATTTTGATACGATGTAATATCATATATGATGTAGATATAATTCAGTCCACAAATATATGCGGTATTCCCCTCGATATTTTTCTGGGGCAGGACACACTGTATATCTGCGCATGCCGGATAAATGGTATTAGAAGGTTTTTTAATGAACGATTGCTGAAATTTCCAACGGAAAAATAATGATAACGTCGGTCCTCTGTGATGCGTACAGCTAAATATATACTGGTAATACTTGTTGTATGTTTAGGTACAATATGATGATGATGTGTTGGGAGGAGGAACCGACAGAACGCCCGACGTTCGACAATCTTGTCACCAGTCTTAGAGACATGGCTAATGAAGAGATGAAACTTCACGTGGACGTAGACAGAGCTGCTGAGGCCATATACTGTGATATTGACAGCCAGCTGGTTGGGGAGATAGTTTAACGTGGAAATGCCCAGTATCAATATTTTGAAATAAGGCAATACGTGATTACCAACATAATTCGAACAAAACATTTAATTATTATTTCCCAATCGCAATTAGTTAGCTTAAAAAGTATGAGATGTGTTTGATGAGTTATGAAAGCTGGTTGGAATTATGCAAAAGATAATGTTTTTAGAAGCTTTAGGACTTAGTTACATTTGCCATTTGTTCGTGCAGTGCACATATATTCATGTATATATTGCAAGTATATCCCTTTACTTTGCGGCAGTCGTGTTATCGAATGAATTCACGGCCTCCGTAAATTCTATGATTTTATCAAGCTAAAACGTTTGACATTACTTAAATGTAAGCCCTTAGACCGTAGCAATATCGTCGATGGTACTGCACAGTGCCCGCACGGACATGATGACGGTTGAACCTCCAGTATTTTTGAGAAACGGTGTACCACAGGCATTAAGGCCTACTTTTTTTCTCTAGCAGTTCGCCTAATCACGTAATTCACTGCGCTGTAGATATTAGGTCAATGCACTGAGAGATTTTATACTACGTAGACTACATTCACAAACGGGATATAAATATGGATAACGGTAAACATCACAAGGTGAATCTGAAAATTGAATGTTTTCGCTAATATTTATTACTTCAATCTTGACCATAATTTTACTTGTGCCTACACGTATGACGTGAGTTTAGAATAGTTAGATATGCATTTTATCAAGTGCATCTTTTACGCTACTAAAAACAGTAATGCGCTTCATATTACAGTGATACTTTCACACCATGTTTTAAAAATGAAGACTTTTTCATTAGAAATATGATATGTAGGACTATTTTTGCCAGGTCTTTTAAATTAAAATTCATAAATATTGTTTTTCTAATTTTGAGTAGTGCATGAAGTTTATTTTGAGATATCAGCACACTTATAAATATGCAGTTGTAATACATTACATGCAGCTCTAAATGACACCTTAAGATTGTTCTCTGTAAGTTTGCTTCCATCTTTCAATTTTTTTCATCAATAAGCATCTGTATATGTATATTGTAACAGAATGGCGGATCCAGGGAAAAAGCAGTGACGTGCCCTAATTCCTATATAACAAAAAGAGCTACAAAACAAATTTTCCATCCCAGTGTCCTTTAAACTATAGCTTAATTGTCTTCATGTACTGTTTTGTATTTGCCGAGAAGAAAGGAAAGTAGATTTTTTAACATGCCCCCCCCCCCATCAGACACACACACACACACACACACACACACACACGTAAACAAACACACACACACACACACACACACACACACACACACACAAGCAAAAACTCTGGATCCGCCAGCTAGAAGGCAACACGAGTGTCAAATGTGATTTCTGCAATTGCAAACATTATATGATGGTTTTCCCCACATTAACATAAAGAATTTCGAAAATTTTATTAATAAAGCACTTTATTGTTGAGATTGCGCTGATTAATTTTGGTTTGGTAATCATACTTACAGCATTGGCTTCGTACTAAGTAAGTACTGCTAACGCATCTCGTTTTAACGCAGTGTGCCAAATGATGATTAATGTGTAACTTTTATATCAGCATATTAACTTAAAGACGGAATAGCCTCATCGTTAACATATACCTGTACATGTAGCAAATATTAAGGAATATATTCAAAATAAAGAACATGCAAATGTAACTGAAACTATATTCAGTAACAAATGAGAATCCAGACAACAAGCATTTGTATTATTTTGTATAAAAATCTAAAAAAAATAATTTTGGCATGATTTGAATTGGCAATAACTATAAGTTTCAGATGACAGTGTTACTAAATCATTTTAATTTATTTGCGCCTTCTGCACATGTATGTTTAGATTTCCCTCATTATTTCTATTTGCTACTGTACTACATCGATGAAGCACAGTAGCCAATAGACGTAATATGTTCTAATTTATCATAAAAATCGTTGCCCTTTAAGCCCCATACTGTTAGGGGGTACATGTAAAAAATACAAAAATACAGTAATCTGTAGCTGCGGTTCACGTTCAATGCATAGTTGAGGAAACAGTTGAAAGTTAGCCGCAATTGGTTGTGATCCTTACATCCCAACTATCGCAATTTCTTCAAAATCCGAGCCACGACTTTTCAACTGTCGTAAGAAGGATGTCGTGGCAAGGATATGTACGCAGTGATGTAACTGAAGGGAAAGCGATGAGTAAATATTTCAAAATGAACGGAAACCTTTGCAAATTCACATGAAAGTTTTAATTATTAAACATAGATTTGTCCAGTGTCACAAAATTTTCATCGACACCGGACATTTCTATCAAGTTTATGTATCAGCTGTGGGAAGTCTGCACGATAGATGCAAGCAGATTATTAGCTCTGCCTGTGATCCTCATCCAGACGATGACAGAAGGAAGACTAAAGAGAATTCTAATGGACTGGGAGAATGGAAAGGCCCGGGTTTACACTATGTATCCCCCTCTCAAGTCCCTGAAGAGTGAGATAGACACGCTTTCCTAGCAATTTAGTTAAGATTAAAATGCAATAGCTCTGTAACTTGAATGGAGGAAGAAGGAAGTATTTTTAAAATGTCTTGGTAAGGAAACGTCGTTTGTCTAAAAAAGGTAGTTAGATAAATAATTGAGTAAGACATTAAATAACTCAAAATTTCCAATAAGCTTGGTTAGGCCTAATTAAATTGATTTTAAACCTTACACATATGCTATAAATGGTTAGAACAGTATAAAATTGTTTAGTGACTGAAGCGGAACTGTGAACTTCACATATTCTAATTTTTTTTTTTTTTTTTTTTTTGTGAAGGAAGTAATAAGAAAAATTCCCTTTACCCGTTTGGGATTTTAAAAAAGAAATTTATAACAACAGGGCTTTAAGAAAGAATAAAACTAAACGTACCTAAATTAATAAAATAAATGAACAAATAAATAGACACTGGTAAATAAGTAAAAGACCGAAGAAATGGATAATAAAGTAGTTGTGGTAATGATTTTATCTTTAGGCCTATAGTCCCGATGATTGAAAATACCCCCTCCATCCACCCCTGGATAACCTAATGCTTTGATGAAGATGCTCTGTTCTGATCGAAATATTGGAGGTAAATTATTTCGATATTAAGCTGTTGATTGAAGAAAAAATTAGTCTTAACCCCCCATACGCACATACAGAGAGAGAGAGAGAGAGAGAGAGAGAGAGAGATTTGAAATCTTTTAACCATAGGCCTACTGCTCGACCAGTCAACTGGGGTTTACTTTCATGTCACAGCAACCTTTCACGTGTTTAAAAATAACTGTCATATAGCATTATTCAGGAGAGTGGAGGGAGAGCTCTTGCTTTGCATTAACAAGATAACATTTATGTAGGGCCTATATATCAAAAAGAAGTAGGCCCCCTATATGTAGGCCTATAGAAACAATTTTTCTTAGTTTCAGTTTCTTTTTGGCAGGAGCTAGTATTACAGTTTTGGCTTATTGCTATAAAAATGATTTCATCATTTTCAGCCTCGGCTTTTTTTGTATGCTCTTACATGTACAGGGAAGTACGTTACCACTAAAAAACGTGATAGAAAAGATGCTTGAGAGCGAGGGGTGAAAAATAATTTTTGTCTCCCGGGAACATGACGTCATAATCAATTCATTCGCACTAACTTTCAAGCATCACGCATACAGACATCATTTGTACATTCTCAGAAAAAGGTCTAGAAAATATATTTCCGAGAAGCACATTTGGGGTGCAGACATCTGCTGATGAATACTTGACGGGCGTTACTGCGGACTATTTTATATCGGCGTAAGGATAGCGACGAAGCACCTGCTGTGCGCAGCGGTCTTTATTCTCACATTGCAAGGTGCGCTTGAAATCCGAGCTATACGGTTACGGAGCTTGGAGGACATATATTTCTGTAGGTGGAACGCTTTGATTCAAGGCAGCAATGTATGTTTTAGCAGGAATCTGTCTCCTCTGCCTGTCACTGGTGCCTGAGTCAGGTAAGTTCAATGTTTCGACAAGCACTGTCCAAAAAAATTTTATGACAACCTTCTTATCGGCTGTCGCACTATTCAAAAATGGCGTACGCTGTTTATCTCGACATGTCAACAAATTTGTGTCGTGTGTGACCCACTTTGTATCAACCGACTGTATATTATTTGAAAATTTGCCCCATAAACGTTGTCTTGTTCTGAAATCCCCAACCGAGGACGGCTTCTACACGCAGGGAAACGAGCATGCAGCTTGAAAGTTAAAAACGGACGTGATGACAGATTGTGACATTGTAACCATGATTTTTGGGGGAAAGCCATGTGTCATCAGACGAGCATCTGTGTGTCACAGTTAGGGCAAACAGGGACACCTCTGCGGTTAAATCGAGCACTACGAAAATGAATTTGTATTGCATGAATGGTACAGCTTTTTTCTCATGCTCCTTGCATATCTAGCAAACTGCCTTCAAGCTGTGCGGGACTTTCTCCTAAATCATTCTAAACCAGACAGCAGAGGGGTTTACTGTTGTATCAAGCATGTATCTGTTCTCCTTTCATTTTGTTCATAATGTTGTATCCCCAGGTTTTATTACCATGCTGTTTGTTATCAGACTGTATAAGTGACTAGTTTTTGTCGAGAATCTACTTACATATTTTTTTCAAATGTCATAAATGAAATAAAGCATAATTTCCATTGTGTCATTTCAAAATACAGAAGTGACATTGCCAAATTCAAAAGCATGAAGGATTTCAAGCATACAGAGTATGATAATATACAACATCCAGTGTAACATTTCTCTACAGTGTTGCAAGTAGGCAAAAGTGGGAGGGGTCCTTCAATCGATAGGTTCCCAGAATGAGAGAAATTGCTTTGGTACTGTATTCTCAGTATCCCCTTAGGTTACTAAATGATTACATTACTGGCCAGGAATCTGTGTAGAGAATTATGACTCATTATCATACAGGTTACAGTGCTGTTGCATTAACAGTTAGTGAAAATTGTATACCCATGAGAGCAATCCCTCCTCTCTGACTGCAAATTTTGCTACTGCTGTATTGATTTTTGGAGCCTGTCTGTGCTGTGTACCAGTGTTGGCTGGGTCTTGTTGAAAACAACTTGAGTGGCTAATATATTATCTTTCTACCTAAAGTGCATGGCAAAGAGAGAGAGATGAGCTTGTATGTGTGGGTGTGATAGTTTCTTTAGAGCCGACTATGGAGACAGTCCGCCAGAATTGTTGCAATATTAAGCATGATATGCATTGTTCAGAACAAGTCGTGACAGATCAGCCAATATGCTGCTCCTGTGGGAGCCTAAAATAGTTCTTTGTTATGGAGGTTGATGTAATAAATGTTAAAAAATCGGGATGTGCCAGCCTGCAACTTCAAAGGCCTGGTGTCGTATAAAAAGAAAGAATTCTCCTTAGTAAATGTTGCCAGGGTAACCATCACATGCCCTGACTCACAGCTGTGTAAATGTTATTGTAATAAAATACATACATATCTGTAATTCTGTTACCCATCCTTGGGCAGACAGTTGGCCATATTGTATATCCATAGCAAGGCCTGGTGTAAAGTCAAAAACGCCCTCTGTGTGTCTACAAGGTTTTTCTTTTTCTAGTCTGCAGGCTGTTAGATACTGGAATGCATTAGAAGAGTGGAAATAAAGTAGAGCAGATTTGCGTGAGACCGTGATGGTTTGAAGGGCGGATTTCCTGGTTTTGTTGTCAATAGCTGTCTCAATGGCTGATGTCTCATTTTCTTGTATAATGATTTTTAAAGAATAAATAATAAAATAAACAAATTTATAAAGTAACTTAATTAATTAAGTTAATTAGATATAAATCTTGGAAATTATGTGAAATATAAATTCCCAGTCATTGCAAAAGAAAGCCCCCAAGGTTTTTAAAAAAGTGAAAACCCAGTTCAAAGCATTAACAAATTAAGGTATGGCAAAGTACTTGTAACCCGCTGCAAATGTGTTTGTGTGCATGTGATCTCGCACACACACACACACACACACAGGCATTAGCGCGCACACACATTGATCTGTTGGGATGTTTTAAGGGATAAAGTGTATTAGGTCAATTCAATTATGGATGAGGTTGGCAGAGATGAGACTTCAAAGATCAGTAGACTACAAAAAAGAATTGAAAAAAAAAGTCCCTGGAAAGTTCAGATTGTTATTCTGAGTGAATTTTATGGAGGGGAGATTTGTTCTTGCCTGCTTTTAAGTAGCATACAATTGGATATTTGAGAGTGTATTGAAAGGACTTGCATTTGAGGTTTAAATAGATCTAATAAGTATTTCTTCTTTGCCTCTTTCCCTTCAAGGATAAGGCTTAATGCTAGGGTTTTTTTTTTTTTTGTTGTTACGAATAGGTTTTATGTAATACGGCTTGTCTGTGTTTGATAGAAACAGCACTGGCAAAAATAAGGAAATATTTTGATTTGGATGTGTATGTAAAAATTATATAATGTTGTATGAAAAAAAAGTCTGATGTGAAAATCCAAGCTGCCAAACAATGGTGGGAGTAAGTCACTAGCAGGTGCAAAGGCCCTTGAGAGTTTCACGATTCTCTATTGATTATGTTGTTTTTCTGTTGTGTAACAAAATAGATAGCAAATGCTAAATTGACAATTGTTTCCATGAAAGGAATATTATCTGCTTCTTGTTCAAACATCTGAGTGTTAAAGCATTATAAATGCCAGTGCTGTCAGTTAACTTGAGAATAGGAAGGAGTCGGTTAACTGGATCTAATCTTTGTGTCACAATACCCAACTTTTCTCATGTAAATCTTCTTATTGTTTGTTAACTGATTGAGGCAAGTGCTTCTTTTTGACTTGTGACAGTGGTCCCGAGGATATTAACAATTAACACACACAAAGACGTTTCTTGGATTCTTTTAACTAAGATAAACAGGCTATAACAGTGCACTCGGTAGGATTTTTCTAAGGGAGTACCGTACCCCTTGCCCAAAAAAAGAAGGGGTAATTTTCAAAATGAAGGGGTAAAATTAAAAAATGCTCCTGGCCTAACTGCTTCCTTAGTAAAGTTTTAAAAAAACTAGGTCAAACAAGCGCTCTGTAATAGTTGGGAGAGTTAGAGATAGAGAACGGCGCCAAAATGTCTGGACACTGACAAGTAGTCACCCAGTATCCGTCTCTGTCAAACAAGCATTTTTTAGTATACTATTTGAGAAGGGACACAAAATTTACATATTTAGCCATTTTAATCAATCAAAATGTTCATACTTCTTACTCTTCCTAGTGTTTCTCCCTAAAATTGATGCCGACAAAAAGTAGGTCAAGTCGGGAACATTAGGCACCCGTCGTTTTTAAGTTTTACTAAATTGTTTATAAAAATTAAACCTTTGCTTTCAATTTGTAAATAATTACTAGAAATATTATTTCACAGTTTGTTGAAAGATAATTTTTATTTATGTTTGTTAGCGCAGCACTTCAAGTTCAACTGTTTTCTAAGCTGGCCAAATCTGGAGCTAGCCGGTTGCTGCAAACCACTTTGTTTCCAACCGGCAAATGACTGCCAATAATAAACGATCTATTTTGTCTGTGATAATAAATTTTACACTTCAAATTTTCCGGGCAAGTGAACAGCCGAAAGTCACTTGCGTTTCCGGGCAACTACCAGCTAAATTTTAGTTGCCCGGCTGATAAAACTAGTTGCGAAACGCAACCATCGCAAGTAGGTATGTCGGACTCTGAAATCTATAGTAAATAACTTTGCCTACCTTGCATGACAAAACCTTTTAATTGACTGTTGTTTTTTTCCTTTGCTTTTCCTTTTTCTCGTCATTTTGTCATCACTGGTAATCAGCAGAGCTGGAAATTCCCGGTCGCCCGCTCGTCAAATGCGACTAAAAATTTATTCTGACGACTAAAACTACAAAAGTCACAAGGGTTACTGGCCTAAAGTATTTGGTCTGGGCGAGTGATTTAAATTGGTCCTAAACGTATGGTTGCTCAATTAAAATGTTGAGCAGTTATGTGAATAAAAAAATGATCATTTCATCGTTGTTCATACCTTGTTTATACTAAAGAGAGGCACATGTGCTTTGACCTAAAACTTGCATATTATGACCAATCAGAGAAGATTACGTCATCCTCTGCAGGTCAGTGAAAGAAGAAGCATGTTTTAGTCGGGTAATTCAAATATCTTAAGAAAAAAATGAGACACTTGGGAATCAATTATGACATTTTCAACATGAGTCTGACCGTCAACAGTCAACGGACTGGTCAACTTCGCCGATCTTCAAAGCCAAAGGTGTGCGTATTCGTACGCGCTGGGGCTCCAGCCAATGCGTAAAAACAGCAAAACAACGCGTAATTACGCACTCTCATACGCTAACGAGTTTACTGTATAATATTGTTCTCTTTTTCTGTGATAAAACTCTTTAACTTTAAACTCTAATCCCAACCCAAATTAGAATAAAAAATTGAAAGCTGCAACAGAAAATATGTGTAAAAATCCATAGAGCCCCTCTACTCTTTATTTGTAGTGCAACCCATGTATGACAGAAACATTTCAAAATCTCAGTGCCTCCCCATACCCCCCCATGGTGAGCCTCAGAGTACCAATCCCTGACTCATCAGTGATGTTAAAATCAATACTTTGTTCTTGGCTCTGGGTTCTGGGAATGGTGGATATATATATAAATATACCACATCATAATGCCTTCCATTCTGAAGCAAAATGACAGCCTGATGAGCCCTTGCATCATCTGATTGTCTGGGAATGGTGGATATATATCAACCGGGTTCTGTGGGCGGGGGTCTATTTTTGGTTGTATTCGTCTCTTTATCCCGGTCATAATCAAATGGGTGATGTATCAAAGAAGGACAAGTCCCCTTTTTCTTCCACAAAGTTATTTATTCCTTTAATCAATTAATTGGAAAGCACACTTTAAATCTTGTGAGCAACTGCCTAGAAATTCTGTAGGAAACTGCCTGAAAGTGACTACTTGAAACTAACAGCTTGAAAATAACTGTAGCCGGCACTATAAAAATCCATTTGAAGAATGAATGTAACCGTAAGTGAAGAAGTGAATAAGTAAGTAGTTAAAAGAGAGCCAGCGGTTTCTTTTTTTACCCTCTTGACTACCACGCCCAAACGATAGCCAAACCCCAATTTTCATGTGATGTGTCTTATCTATACTGTATTTCCAAATTTCCTCTAAAGGTGACAGATATATAACTTTAAGCAGCTTACTTTCTGTATTTCTAGGAGTTGCCTCTTTCTAACTTTCTTCGGTTCATATAGTAAACTAATCTATCTTTGCTATTATGTATCACTGACCAAACAATGTCCAATGCAGGATCCACCACAGCAGTGCTCCCCCCCC